CTGCTAGTAAATTTCACAAATAATTACAAAGAAACATTGAATTGAACATTACATTTTGAAGTAGAAAGACTGAAATAGTATTTTAGTCTAAAACATGTGAAAATATTTTTTGGTCGGGAAGATTTTTTAAAATGTTTTTGAAATAAGTCTTTTCTGCTCACCAAAGCTATATTTATTTGATCCAAAATACAGTTAAGCAGTAATACTGTGAAATATTTTTACTATTTAAAATAACTGTTTTCTAAGTGAATATCTGTTAAACTGTAATTTATTCCTGTGATGCGCAGCTGTATTTTCAGCATCATTCCTCCAGTCTTCAGTGTCACATGATCTTCAGAAATCATTCTAATATGCTGCTTTGCTGCTCAAGAAACATTTCTGATTATTATCAATGTTGAAAACAGTCGTGCTGCACAATATTTTTGTGGAAACCGTGATCCATTATATTTTTCAGGATTCACAGATGAATAGAAAGTTCAAAAGAACAGCGTTTATTTGAAATAGAAATATTTTGTAATGTTATAAATACCTTTACTGACACTTTTCATCAATTTAATGTGTCCTTGATGAATAAAAGTGAATAAACATGTTTATTTATAGTGCATTCTGATTCCATGTTGACTTTAAAGTGCTGTCTAGGTAGGCGTCTCGTGTAAAGCTGACACACACATGTGCATACCAGAGCCTGACCTGTCACACACACACACACACACACACACTCGCCAAGAGAGGGCTGCTCCTCATAAAACCATTGACTTTCAAAGAAATGTGTGTGGTTCGCTGGTTTGGGTCACTCTAACTAGGAGCATGTGGGGCAGAGACAGCGAGGTGGGCACTGCGGTCCACTTTCATCTGTCTGTGAACACAAAGTCTCCTTCACACACACACACACTCTCTCTCGCTCTCGTGTATTTATTTTATCGTGGGCTGGCGATGTAGGTTTCCCAGCACTCAGAGCCCCAAAACTAACACAGTCCGACTCAGAAGTAAAACAGTCACTAATGAGCTCAGAAAGCAGCAGAAACACTTCCACGAGTGTGTTTGAACGGGTCCTCGAACACACACACGGCACGCATGTTTTCTTCTCCTCCGGTGGCTGAGGTCGAGACCCTCATCACTCTCTGTCTAAATGGTCAACGAGCGTCTCAGTGACATCACTTCCTCTCGACATCTCAGTGCAGATGTATTTCTGCTCAACCTGATTTTTCACAAAGCGAGCTCCCTCGTCTTGTTTTCGGTGGTTTGGGGGAAACGGGCAGTGCTGGTGATACTGGATCTGCTTCCTATCATCACACGTGCAGATCGAGCGCCAGTGACTCACAGAAGACATGAATGAAAAAAAACCTGGACGCATATGAACCAGCAACCCTCCCGTTGGCCTCAAAGGCCTGTCAATCAAAAATACACACACACACACACACACACACACACACACACACACACCACACTCACACACACACACACTCACACACACACAAACACTCACTCACACGCACACACACACACACTCTCAGACACACACACACACTCACTCACACACACGCACACACACACACACACACAAACACGCTCTCACACACACGCTCTAAATGAGGACATATCATTGGCTTCCACTGTCTTTATTTAAAGCTGAATGAAAATAAATATGAGAATGAAAATAACCCAAACCTACTGCTAAAATGTATTTGTTTTATTTATATATCATTTTTACCTTATTTTTTAAAGGTTTTGTCAGATGTTACTCACTTCTGAGTACAGTTTGGTCCACAAACTATAGTTAATTTGTGATAGACGCTGATTGATTTTGTAATTGTTGTTCTCTGCATCAAACACACGGTATTTTTTTTCTTTCTATTTCAGTCTTTCTACTTCAAAATTTCACATATCATGAATGTGTTACTTGCCATTTCTGAGTGAAAATTGTTTCAACACTGAATTCTTTTCAGTGCAGACAGTTTCTTTGGCCGTTGCATTGCGTATTGTGTTGTTTTTCCAGCATCTCATGCCATGAGCGCCATATTTTTAAGATGTGTGACGTGCTCACATAAAACCATAAGCAAAACAACTTTACAGCTGACAGATAATGCAACGTCTTTGCAGTGTGTGTGTGTGTGTGTGTGTGTGTGTGTGAAAGCAGAAGTAAAGGCATCGGATCAGGAAACACTGTGATCCAGGAAAAGTCTTAAGTGGAAACATGTTTATCTGGTCTTCATTTGTCTGGATGTTTGAGAGCGTGTGAAAGACGAGCCTGAAGATCTTCATATGAGACCCATTGAGAAACGTTTTTTTGTTTCTCTCTCACTGACTCAGTCCTTCTCTTTTATTTAACCGCATCCAGATGAATATGCAAAGACAAAAATAATTGCTTTCATATCTCAGTTGTTTCTCCTGAGAAAGGTTCAGAAGAGATCTCGACAAATTCTCAAATGTGCTCAGATTTGCCAAGTCCGTAGTCTAAATTCAGAGATCTCAATATCAAACATTTCTCAAAATTCATTGTTTAGCAACTATTTGTGTCTGAAAGTGTAGGAGAAACATCACTGTGAGTTGTTAAGATAAAATGACACTCATCACACTTTGCATTAATATCATTTTATACTTTATTTTGTATTTCATACTTTATTTGGCATCAGTGCGCGCCAAATAGATGATGATTTCATGGAGTCACATCAGTAGTGTGACCTGCTGTCGTCATGCTGATCTCAGACTCCTCTGGTCGTCATGGCGATGTGTTCAGCAGTCGTCATGGCGACGGTCCATCTTGAGCATCCCCGTCCAGCCTAACCAATGTGCAGACTACTGTACAAACGCTACTTCCTGAACAGGTAGTCTGAACACTGGGCAGGCGGGATGGGCGTCCGCAACTAAACCAGTCGTCGCAGCGCACCAAACTTGTGCTGCGGTCGCTATGTGACGGTGCAAGTAGATATTTAATAACCTTAATAAATTGTAGTACTTAAGCTTGTTTCTGGTAATTAAAAAAAAGACAAAAAATATTATAATATATATAATTGTACTTGTTTTTAGTTTTTAATTTTTAGAGACAGTTTGTAGAAATTTTTACAGTGTCTATATATACATACATACATACAAGTTATTAAATTAATATATTTTTATCTACCTATACACAGGCTTTATGTTTCTGGTTATTTAGTGATTGATTTAGCATTTTGACTTTGATAATCCCACACACTCTGAAATAATCTTCATCACAGCGGATGATTTTAACATTCCTCTGCTCTTGCATAAGTTCAGCCGTACGATTAATATTAATCACCTCTAAACTGAATACATCATGCACCGTTAAAGTGATGAAGATACTGCACCTCATCCTCCTCTTCAGCCTGTGGTGGAGCGAGTCCAGGTGTTTGTCCTGCTGTTTGTTGAGCGTTGATCTCAGTTTGCGTCTGCAGGACCTCAGTGAGTGCGGGGGAATAAATGGCTCTTCATCTTCACTTTTTCCCATCATTCACAGATCGCTCCGTGTTCCCAAATAAATCATGCAAAGCTGCATCCACTAACATCCATCCGGCGTCTCCTCAAATCAGCATCTGTCGGCGAGCGTCTCGTCTCTGCAGTGACTCGCAGGCTTGACGTGGCAGAGGACTGTTAACTAACTTTACTAGTGAGAGAGTGAAGCAGCAAGAGAGGAGAAAGAGGCGGGACTTTCTTCTCCTTCCCGCCTCCGTCTGGCTTTCTGGTATTTTTTTTCCTGCTTTTTGGGGAGGCGG